CGCGAGTAGCGGGAGGGCTCGAGGGAGGCGCGAGCAACGGGAGGGCTCGAGGGAGGCGCGAGCAACGGGAAGGCTCGCGGGAGGCGCGAGCAGCGAGAGGGCTCGCTGGAGGCGCGAGCAGCGGGAAGGCTCGCAGGAGGCGCGAGCAGCGACAGCGGCGAGCAGTGGCAGCGGGAGCAGGAGCGACGAGCAGCGAGATCGCGATCGGGATCGGGATCGGCAGCGGCAGCAGGTTAGGGTTGGGTAAGGGTTAGGGTTGGGGTTATATCGGTTTAGTTGGTTCGATTGAACCAACTAACAACCGAACCAGGACCGAACCAGACCTAAAATTCTGGTTCGGTCGCCTTGGTTTACCCAGGCGCTCGCCCAAAGCGCCCAGCGCTTGGGCTCGGGCGAGCGCCCAGGCGACGCCTGTTTGAAGCGCGTCGCCTGGGACATTAGCGAGACGCTCGGGCCTCGCCTCGCCTCGCCCGAGTGCCTTTTTCAATCACTGCATTGCATCAGTCTATAGTTTTCATTTTTTTTCCCTTTGTACTGAGAACAAAACATTGCATCACAACATTTTCACAGTGTTAAAGGATTGTTATTGGATAATTAGCATTTTAAATAAAGGTATTCACAGTGACTAAGTTACCATGCTGTGCCCATTTTTCTAGCAGAAGCTGATGAACCTGAAAAAGAAAATTAGAATTAAAAACCAACAGATTGCAAGTAATAATAGGGTTACTCAGATCAGATTTGACATCAAATCATATGTTGACAATCAATGTTTTGAGGTGGCGTTAAGCACTTCATGTTTTTTTTTTTTCTTCTTTTAAATTAAAAGAGGTAATTGAAACTTGAAGTCACCAACATGATATTTTGAACCAGCCATGACAGTGACCTAGGCTAGAATTTGTATGATATATATTCTTTTTATGTAAGTAATATCGTTTGCAGACTATGTCTCAGAGAGAAGTTGTGCAGGTGTGTATATTACACAAAATAAAAATAAAAAAGAAGAGAAAAGTGCATGCTATTCAGTGCTTGATGTTACTGCTTTTTAAGTGAAGAATCATGTGTTCAGTTTTCCTTTTCTTTTTATCAGCTATTTAGCTTTCATTTTGTAGATCTTCTTTATATGGTGACAAAAAAGTGATCTTTTCCAAAAATATCCTCCTCCTTTCTGTACCAACATGGATCAGTAAGTAAGAGAAAAATTTTATTAATCAATTGTTAGACATGCAATATTTTGTAAATCTAAACGTGGAGTAATTAAAAATCTATATATATAGTTTGTATTATTGAGATGAATGTGTTGAGATATAAGAAAAATTAGGAAAAAATATTTTCTTTCTTTCATTGACAATTAAGTGAACCATTCATGGTGAGTAAAATAAAAAAAAATATTTAAAATGATATAGGCATATATTAAAGATACCCATAGATGTTGTAGTTTTAAAAAAAAAATTACTATCAATAGTACGATGAGAGGTAGAAGGATATCTAAAAAATTTTACTAAGAACTATAGATAAATATTTAAATATTCTCAATTTAACTAAAGATATAATTTTCTACGGAACACAATGATGGCAAAAGATACATAGGATTAACTCAAAATAGTCAAGATTGTATGTCCTCCTTGTTATTGTTATATGTACAATTAATGTCATGGATTCATGTATTAAGCGAAAAATTCTTTTGATGTTCTTTCAGGTACTATAAGATCATTGAAGCCGATCACATCTTTTTCATCTTGCATCGGGAGAGAGCAGGAGCACAATTTGATCTCATGTATGATGGCATATTTCAGCGGTGCAGAAAGCACATGTTTAGAAGCAGGACACCAGCATTGCGCAGTGAAAGCAGCCAATTACTCCCCCAAAACTTCCAGACTACTCAAGTAGGTGGTTAGAGAACAAATAAAAATAGTATATATAAATTATATACATTCATATATAATGTATTCTTTCTAAGATTGAGCTCCAGTATAAATTAGACTATTTTCCAGTCCCATATAAAGCCAGGCCTCATTAGTGATCCAGAATTCTTCGAGTCTTTTTTTTTTTTTTTGTACAAATACCTTTCTTGAATCAAAAGATTTCAGAAAGTATTTTGATAATGTACAAGACAATTTACTTGGATTTTGTTTAATGATTTTTCTTTCAGTAGTCCACAGCCAGGTAAGCTTTTGTGTGAAGGTGAAAATTAAAGAGAGCCAAGAATGATGAGTGAGGAGATGATTTGTATTCACCAAATTTTCTTGGCCGGTTGTTAGTGTTGGCACTTCTTCAGACAGAAGGAGAAAACATAAGTTTACAGTGTTAGGATTCCTTAATTTAAGAATTTAATATTAATCTTTATTTTTTATTTAGTTTTGAGTTTAATTTTTTAATTGTGAAAAAAATCCTTTGATGTAGCCAATTAGGGATTATTATTTTTATTTATTTTTTTCGTTAGAAGTGATGAATAGATGTCTAGAAAACTATCTTAGAAGTGATGAATAAATCAAACTAGTGGATAAAACAATTTCCTTGGCAGAATGGTAGAATAATACCATATATTATTCTTTTATTAAAATAATTCCTTTTGAAATGGTTTATGATCGATCTTCTCTCATGATTACAAAATAGTTCTTTTAAGATTAATTAAGTGGATAAGGAATTCTTTGATAGGGATAAGATTATTCAACTTCAAAGAGATAATCTCGTATTCTCACTAGCTAGAATGAAGCAAACTTCCTAGAGTGAGCAATGTTAGGATCAAGAGCGGCACTAAGAGGGGGGGGTAAATTAGTGCAACGCGATTTCAGAAAATATTTCGTATTCGAAGGAAATCGATTCGGAAAGATATTAACTTTAAAACGTAAGAGAGTATAAGTGTAGTGAAAGCAAGATGAGAGAAGAAGCATTTTGCTATGAAATGATTTGCAGTTAAAGAAAATTGCTTAAAACGAAATGCAAACCAGATTTAGAGTGGTTCGGTCAATGTGACCTACATCCACTATCGGATTCCTCTTCCGATGAGGTCTCCGGTGTCCACTAAAGGCCTTCATTCAATAGGTGAAGACCAACTACTTTTTACGGCGCTTTCTCCTTTTCACGGGTTTAGGAGAGAACCCTTACAAGTCTCACACCTCTCTTCAATGATCTCAAAACTTAGAAAGGGAGGAGGAGAACTCTAGCACTTGTTTACAACACTTGTACACCCCAATAACTCAAGATTATAACACACTTCGGTGCCTTTTCATGCTGAAAATGGTGAGGTATTTATAGGCCCTAATGGCTTTAAAAAATGGAGCCAAAAAGTGTCTCATCCCGGATTTTCGGGGTACTAGCGATACCACCGCTATTACTGGGTGGTACTACCGCTTGACATCTGACGCTGCGCAGTACTATCGCTCAATTTGGGCGGTACCACCGTCTGACATAACTAGGAGACCGAGCTCTAGTGGTACCACCGCCTGACAGGGGCGGTACCATCGTTGGTAGTAATAACTGCCGGCATTGCCACCGGCCAGACCACATGGGGTGCTATTTTCCAAGCGATACCATTGTCGGCCAGGAATTCAGTATCCTGGTTGGGCCTTGACTCCGGCCCAAACCAGCCCAACTCCGAGCCCAGTTGGCCCCTAATAGAATTGATGGGATTACCTCCCAAATCAACTCTAATTATCGTTCTAACTACGATTAAGGCAAGCATGGTTCGTCGATTTTTCACTCGGCGATCTTCCGGTGAACTTTTCAGTGAGTCTTCCGGTGAGCTTCCGGCGAACTCCCGACCAACTCTCGGCTAGTCTTCCGGCGATCTTCCGACGAGCTTTCGGTGAGTCTTCCAACGTGCTTCCGGTGATCTCACGATGAACTCTTGGCCAGCTCCCGGTATATCGTCTGAGTCTTCGACTCCGGCCCATCATCTGCTTTACGCCTTACTGCTATCGTAGTTAATCCTGCATATTTATCTCAACACATGTATTAGATCAAATAATTTACCGATTGATTTCATCATCAAAATCCGAGATTCAACGAGCGAGAGTTTACAATATGCCATTGGGTTTTCCTTCGATTTTAACCTTAAGCCTTATATCGCTTGGATTTACTAGCAAGCTTTAATATACATCCAATTCTTCATATTTCTTGTTTTAAAAAGAAGTTAGGTGAGGATAATGTAGTACAATATCATTTGTCAAATATTTCTTCAACCGGTGAGGTTTAAATTCTACCTCAAGCCATATTTGATCGATGTGTTTACTTACTAATTGAATATATTACTTCGGATTATTACTTACTAATTGAAGATATCACTTCCAATTATAGGAGATGCAAGTAGAGAGCTTTGCTCGTGTAAATTAGTATATTTTGTAAAAACGATTCATCAATATCACACCAAACCAATGTTTTTTTATAGGTCCAATTCTAGGCATTGCATTTTTATATATTATTTGTTTCTATTTTCACAAATTTCTTCATATGACTCTTAAAAAAAAAAAAAGGAACGAGCAAGCTAAGCTTGCCAGAAATGAAAACTTCCAACCAAGTCAAAAGAAAATTATGCAAATATCTGAAATTAATACCATACCTCGAAGAAGAGTTTCTGATCTGAACAATTCGATTGGCCAGCCAAGTTATGAACTGCTAATAACACACCACCGGACGGTGTTTCTGAGAAATTACGATGTAAATATAGAGGGCACACAAATCTTAAGCATAAAAGAACTCGGAGACATCACTTGCACTTCCCTAAAGTAAAATATCCCACATGTAACAACCATTTGGGCGTTGAACGAAGCACGAGACAGGGCATGATCATCATCTGAAATGCAACATTTGCTCGCAAGGAAATAAGATAAAGATTCAAGGTACCAAGTTCATGCTTTCGGGAATGGATATTGGGTAGAGGTACATCTGAATTCATAACATCAAGTTAAGGAAAACTTGAAATTCCAGGATTATCCATGTCTTCTGCATACAGATTTGCCTATTTCTAATGTATCACCAGGCTTCATAATGCCATCTCTAGATGCAGCTGCAATGCCTCCTCCAGCGCTCACCGAGGGCTGCATGAGTCGAGTCAACAGTGAGAACTTCTTCAGTAGCCAACAATGAGAGAGAAGATCACCCTCACCTGTAGGATCATGACCTTGATGGGCTCGGGCCATTTCCTGCAGGACTTGGAGATTGATGATGCGACCTGTAATCCCTTTCATCATCATGGGACCTGTATTCCCTATCATCATCCCTCCTATCATGCGACCTATAATCCCTATCATTCTGTGGAGACGGGGAGATGGATCTCGGTGGAGAGTAATAATTATCCTTACTGCTCCGGCCATTATCCCTGCATTCATCCATAAGCATCACTTAATAACGAAATTCGCAGCATGATATGTAAGCAAAAAACCATCGGCCGGTGTATCTCTATGGATGGCAACTAAATATATCATGACACAAAATTATCTGCAATGGAAGGGCAACTTCTCGCCAATCTTACTATAAGGAAGAATAGCCTAATCTAAAGCAGGTGTGTTCAAATATATATGGTAGTTTAACAGTGTGCCATAACATCGACTAAAAGTCTCTCTCCAAACCGGATTAAGTATTCGACATTGATTTCTACCTACCACATATCACAGGGACTCCTGAACAGAGATATGCAACTTTGATCCAAGCATGTGTTGGTTATTCTCCTAAACAGTGTACTTGCTTATTGATCACTCTGTTAACTTTCAACTCAGGTATGACCACCATCAAGAATTATGCTATCTCGATGGGCTTCCATTCTCTGGAGATCATCCTAGTTTGTCTTTCGGCTTATTCACTGGAGGCCATGGTTGTCTCTCTTGAACCTTTAACTATAGTTTCTTTCGTAACTGGATAGTATACAAAAGCAAACATCATCTTTAGAATGCAAAACATGAAACTGAAAGTTCTTTCTAAAAGGGGAAAAGGAAGTTCTCAAGTGTTGTAGTATCTCTACCAAACTCTGCAATCTGTAACCACTGTTGTTGAAAATTGGAACTGAAACTTCTTCAATAGCTTTCAAACAAGTCAATCAACTAGCCAACAACTTTAGAGTCACACTCTTTTCTTTTTAAATAATCTTTGATTCTTTACAATCCCATTTCACTTTTATGATCTGCATGAGCAACATAAAAAATCATTTCATATTTTCTGAAGAACATGAAGCAATCTATCAATAATTATCAAATATCAAAGAAATGGTTGCATGTCAATGTAACTGGTAATTAGACTTGGAAATTCTACAAGCACTTTAAGAGTTACTTTTTTACTTCTAGTCATAAAAGCTACAAAAAAAAAGGGTTACTTTTTACTTTTAGTTACAGTATTATCTTGCCTCCAGAATTAACTCATCTTCCAAAGGCACTGAAGAAAGAAAGCAAAGCCAGAGGAAAATGCAGCTTCATTTGAAACTTCATCAGCTTCAGTAATATCATCCTAAAGGAAACCATCGACATTGAGCAACTACTGACCATATCGACATGTCTTATATAACTCAAAAGTCAAAACATCGCCATGATTACATAATTTCATATATCAAGTTGCAAGAACATGCATTACAATATCTGAGATATCAGAAACTAAATGCACCAATGTCTTTGGTGTCATGTAGTGATCCAAACCATCTGAATTCCAAGATCCAACTGACTTTCAAAGATGAAAAAACTATTTTTATAAATTACTTAATGAATATTTTACAAATAACTTAGCTTAAATATAGAGGATAGTGTTAGGTTTAATAATCATAAAATTGTTCATGATATTAGAGCAAGTGAGTTTAAGAAATCTTTAAAAAAGATGAAAATATGTTAAAAGTATAAGATCATCCCTATTGAGGTTTGGATGAGCTTAGGAGATTGAGGAATAGTTTGGTTGACTAATTTATTGAACAAAATCTTGAAATTTAGAAAAGAAAAAAAAACTTAGAAATGGTGGAAAAGCTTCTTAGTACCAATTTATAAGAACAAGGGTGATACCAAGGCTAATCTAATTATAGAGGAACTAAGATTATGTGTGACACTATGAAATTTCGAGAATGAGTGAATGAAAATCAAATAAGATATAAAATAATTATTATCGAAAATTAATTTGGTTTTATACAAAGAAATCTACTGGGAAGATACCTATTTTTGAGGCAATTAATGAAAAAGTATAGAAAGAACAAAAAAAATTTATATATGGTTTTTGTTGATTTAGAGAAAGCTTAATAGAGCTCCTTGGTATATTTTATTATATTTTATTTGTTAACGATATTATTGCAGTTGAATTTTATTCTAAACTTAAGTTGTAGAGACAATTTTAAATTGAGTAGGACTAAGATTGAATAAATGAGATAGGTTAGTAATACGAGAAATAGTAAACATAAGGATATAATTAAATTGGATGAACAAGAAGCTCTATTGAAAGTTTTAGACTATCTTGGATCAAAGATTGTTATTATTCATATTGTAAAAACTAGACGATCAAAATGGAAAAGGATACCAAGGGTTATTGATCATCAGATACCTCTTAGATTGAAATAAAAATAAAATAAAAATTTTATTAAGACTATCGTTAGATCACCAATACTTCATGGATGTGTATTAGGCAATTAATAACATATAGAAAGAGTGTGGTCAAAATGAGAATATTGGATGTGCGGAGTTACAAAAAAGAACAAGAAAAGAAATAAAAACATTTTTATTTGTGAATTATTGTAGCTTTGATAGAGTATACAAAGAGGGAGAATCATTTAAGATAATATATATATGAGTTACGAGGAAGGATAGAGGAAGACCTAAAAAGATATTATTAGAAACTATAAATACTTTTAATTTAACTAAGAATATAATTTTTATATAGTTCAATAGGGGCACAAGATCAAGACCTTAACTTAGTTGGGACTTTACAACCTTATTATTATTGTTGTTCTTGTATGCGTATGCGTGTATATACAAACATGTAATGAAAGCATAAGGTTAATCAATAAACAGTATAATAATGAATGTTTGCTCTCTTGCTTTTTATTTTCTTAGTTTGCTCCTACTTTGATCGATGATATTCATATAGTAAAAACAGAATTGTTAAAATGATGAAGGGCTTTAAGAGTTGTGTGATTATCGAATATCTTAACTTTAAGATTAAAAAAATTTTTATAATACAATTATTAGACCAATAATGCTTTTTGGGAATGCGGGCATTTAAAAAATAACATATACAAACAAGTCAATGTTACTGAGATGAAAATATTGAGGTGGATATATAAAGTTGCTACGAAAGATTGAAAAAAAAATACATTTACTCGTGACCAATTAGGTATGGACATGGACAAAAAATATTTTTATTCGTGAACAATTACTTATGGACATGGACATATGCTCAGGAGATATACAGAAGTGAGAGGTGAAATAGTTACCATTAGTGATATAAGGAGAGGTAGAGCAAAACTAAAAATATTTTAATAGAAACTATAAATATAGATTTAGGTACTCTTAACTTAATTAAATATATGATTTTTTATCCATCTCATTGGTGGCAAAAGATCCATGTAATAGATTTCAAATAGTTGAGATTTATGGATTATTGTTGTCATCGTCTGATAGGAAAATATTCGTCAAGCTAATCCCATACGATTGAGAAATTACAATTGGTTATTGGTTTCTTCGGTTTACAACTGAGAAATTATGTTTTTTGTTGTTTCCTTTTAGGGTTTTCATATTTTGATTTTTTTTGGTTCTAGATTACAAACATACCATAACCTAGGCTGTGAAACCAATGTCACAAATTGCAACCCAATCCAAATATTGTGGTGGATAGATTGGAGATCGCAAAAATCTGCTAGTCGATAATTGCAACACAATCCAAATATTATGGTGTATAGAATGGACATAACAAAAATCTGTCTCCAATATGATAGAATACAGTAAATCATTTCTTAAAATGAACTAAATAAAATTTAACTAGCAGCAAAATAACAATATTAAGCTAGTTTTTGAAAAATATAAGTAGACAGAAATTTCAGTGCATGTGCACATCAAAGAACCAGTAATTAATCCTAACGGACAGCTAGAAGAATAATTCTAAATCCAAGATGAATTAAAGCAAATCTAAACCACCACAAACTCCAAGCAAGATCAACAAGCAGGAAGCAAGAAGAAATGATACCATTACTAATAAATTCATTATAAATAGCACAGGAGAAATAAGGTGACCAATACATATATATTGAAGCAGAAAAATAAGTCTGACCTTGATTCATGTCTGGGTGGAGTGGGGGAACGTGAATATGCTGCCAAAAGAGAATGATATATCATAAGTTTATTTGAAGACAATAAAGATCATTCACCGTATTATTTACTCAGTATACATGGCTAACTTCTGAATACTCACAGCAATATTGACGTCTAGGAGATCTGGATAAAGAACACCTACTGTATCTTCCTTCCATGTATCTTTCACTGCACCAGCATAAATGTGAGTGCTATCTGAATTCCTTGAAAAAAATTAATTTAATCCAAATGTATGGCCTCCTCAAATAAAAAGTAATATCATGATATTCGATGGGATTATAGACCAACACAGTTTGCAACCATTTGCATAGCATCTAGGATATAGATGATGATGTCATGAAAGAAAAACATGAAGCACACCTAATCCTTGTCGTCATACGCATTTCTTGTGGAGTTTTCCTATTTTCTTCAGCATAGACAATTGAGATCTCACGTCCACCTAAAATCTGATGGTTCATATGTTGCTTAGCCACTGCAGCATCTTCTGCATAGCGAAACTTGACAAATCCAAAACCCCGGGGCTCCCTGCAGTTGCAGTGTCCACATATGAGACTTTGTTAACAGCAGCAACATTAATATTGAAACAGATCCATTTTTGGTTTCCTTAGGTTACTTCATGGTATATGAGAAATAAAAGCTCCTTACGAATTTCAAAGTATGCAGTAATAGAGGAAAGTAACTTGTCAATCCATAGTGCATAAAGATCATTTTCACCATTTCATTCACATGATGGAGAACTTTCACCAAATTACCCACTTACAGCCTTACACAGTGTCAACACACATCAGGTGCAGCATAACATAAAGAAATTTACCAAACTGTCATTGACTTAGCTAAAATTGCATAAGTTATGAGACACCCTTGTGTTATCCATCTGCAAGGGGTCAACCTAGTTGCAACCTCGCTCAGGTCCCGAAGGACCTATAAAAATACAAATTGATTAATTCAAAAATAAACGACAGACAAGTCCCGACATCTCACAAAAGGGACAATTTTACAAGCAATTCAACAAACACTTGGTGTGCAAGAGAAAAAAAAAAAACAAAGATTTTAAAAGACAAAACGAATAGTCGCAGGTCTGCAAACGACTGCTCACCAAGTGTCGGGCACGTTGGCAAGTTCCTGTAAACTAAACGTGCAAACTTGTAAATCCTATCAACACCCAACACTATCCCAAACCCCCATCCAACCCTATACCACCCGGAAGGTTCTGAAGTGCTGAGATGACCAACATTTTGCCACAACACAGCTTGTGGAAAACAGGTCATGGCACACAAAACAAGGCCATTCTACAGCAATTTTGCCCATACTAGTGAACGATCGCTCTGCAACCCTATAAATTGTTCCTGCTCAGTTTTTAAGCAAAAACAAAAAAACAAAATAAAACATGCTGCCAAACATATGTACAAGCAAGCAAAAGTGACGAACGATCCATTGACGAAGGTGTTGCGGGTGCATAACAACCCTCTATGACAAAGAAGCCAAACCAAATAGAGTGATGTTTATGTTTTCTATGGTAAACCATCTATTGGTTGTCATGAGGATAAACAACCACATTCTTTTGTTAAGCTTTCTCTTTAAAGTTACTTCTTTTTCGTACTTTCAGGTCTTTGTTGAAGGGGCATAAGATTTGTCAGGAGTTCTGGTATATAAGCAAATAACGAACATGCTAGTCAGCTGCTAATCTTTTGAGGGAAAAAACCATTGGTTTCTTGTGTTTTCTATCACATGCCACTTCGTCTTTGCAACGTCCTCAAATGGTATAAAGCTTCAATGGTGCAGTGCATAACTATAGATGTCCAGCATTTGCTTACAATGCATTCCTAAGAAAATTTGTGCCTCAATCAATGCCCAAGACTTGAAACATCTTTATCCATAAAAAGCCTCCCAAAGTTTGCACACATATTGAGTATCTTTCAGCAGTGTGGATTTACATACGAGATTAATCTAAACAAGTGGCCATAAAATAGAGCAGATATATTAAAGATTCAGTAATTGACTATTATTACTCTTAAATACTGGTATCATGCATGCCCATTTCCATTAGCAGCTGTGCCAACACAAGCATGCCTACACGAGAGGCAAAACAAAGCAAAGAAAAATATAGAGAGACAAAGAGTATAAACAAGAAGGGAAAAAGATCAAGATAGTCGCCTCCAAAAATCCTATGGTTAACAATGTGGTATCTGGTAGGCTTCAAATGATTGCCAAGGCCCCCAAACTAACGTCCTTTCTGTTAATGCAAAATCTTTACAGGATGGTTCAATAAAACGTAACCTCTCTCACTTGATATTTACAATATATAGTTAAAGAGTGATACTTGACAAATTATAACCTAAAACTTAATACCATTTGGAGCCTTCTGGAACCGCAAATCAATTTTTGGCAAGGAAATTAATCCAATTGCAATAGAAGGCACAGTCTCTAATTAGAGGTCCATGGCAAGCATGTGTTGCAGGTTTTGTTAGGATCCTGTGTAGATATCTGTATTTCTTCTTTTTTTGCTTTCTCCCTGATCTTATACCTTTTATTTCCTACCCTTAATACAACAAGTGATAACCATTTTCTATCCTTAGGAAAAAAAGAATGTGACCAATGTGCAGATCATCATTGACACTATACAATAAAGTCCACGCAAACAACCTAATTTTCTCAAATAAAAGGTCTTGAGAGTTTAGCAAGACAATTATTTCATTTACATAGCATTCTAATCCTAGCCTATTTTTTTAGAATCTTCATGATTACCTATATTTTGAACAAAGGCCTTCTTTTTTCAAAAACTCCTGGCACTCTGGTCTCCTGATGACATGTTAAGAGAGCCCCACACTTTACACTCCAGCTCTTCACATTGAAATTCATATAAAACATATTGATGAACTTCATAACATGTTAGGAGACCTTCATAGTATCGGACTTAACCAGCAACGCAAGAATCCCCATGCTAATACCATGCCAGCATAGTGCATCAAGTCCAATACTCCACAAGCTCCTTCAAACTCTAAGCATGTTTCCAAGTGTTGAAACAAGATACTTAATAACAAAACAGGTTCTACAATCACCAATTTCATGAAACAACCATGACATCCAAATATGAAATTCTAAAGGCTTGACATTAAAAAATGATAAAAAGACATCAAACAAATAATATAACACGTGGTAATAAAGATGTACATGATCAACGTACAAAGTCAAAGTGGTTCCATATCATCCTTATTAAGAAGAGTGAACCCTTGTCATACATAAGAAGTTTCTATCAACAATACAGCACCAAATATGTGTTTTCAATTCAAATTATATCCATGATGCATTTTAAATGAGTAGACAACAAAACCACCTAACTGAACAAATGGCAAGCACTTAGCTTTTAAATGCAATGACTCAATATTGTCAATGTTCTCTTATTAAGGAAAAGAAAATCAAATAGAATTGTCTTCTCCCATGTGAATTACAAGATCCATATGGTAGCAATGTGTCTATTCTTTTCTATTTTTAGCAGCTTGATCTCTTGCCACCATTGAGTTCATTAAAGTCAACTTCTCTGTAAGCCTCAACAGCAATAGGCGTGGATCACCAAATCCTGCAAACACTCTTCGGTCTTCAATTATTCTCTCATCCTTGTAAAATTCTCCTCCGATAAGCCTTCTCCCAAAACACCACAACCTTCCAATCATACACCACTAACATGTCCGTTAGAATCCATGAAATGCCATATCTCTGATTTTACAAAAATGACATCCACCTCCTTACGTTATCACTACATCACCAATGCTCAGCTTCTTCGACTAACATAATTTGCACCTTCCTATGGCATTAAAGTAAACGGACCTCTATTTGGTACATTAAAGTAATCATAAAAAAGGAAAAAATTAAAGGATCATCAGACAAGTCTTGTGAAGAGCAACTACATTAAAGATCAAAAGTACATGGATAGAATTTTCCTTGATGGCCAGGGTATGGTTGGAAAGATATAATTCTAAATGCCAACTCCTAGGCAGATAGTACACACTAAGCTTTGGACATCACCACTGAGGATCTTAATTTTGGCCAGTGATTGCAAAAGGCGCTCGGGCGCTCGCCTAGGCGCTCGGGCGAGGCGAGGCGAGGCCCGAGCGCCTCGCTAATGTCCCAGGCGGTGCGCTTCAAACAGGCGCCGCCTGGGCGCTCGCCCGAGCCCAGGCGCCGCCTGGGCGCTCGCCCGAGCCCAGGCGCTGGGCGCTTCGGGCGAGCGCCTGGGTAAACCAAGGCGACCGAACCAGAATTTTAGGTCTGGTTCGGTTGTTAGTTGGTTCAATCGAACCAACTAAACCGATATAACCCCAACCCTAACCCTAACCCAACACTAACCTGCTGCCGCTGCCGCTCTCGATCGCGATCGC